CAGTCCGGCCGGAGCTCTCGTACACTATGCAGTGTAGGGCTAGCCAGTGAGTATGATATTCTCAAGTGTGGTAGAGAAATTGAGTCGCCTCTCCTTAGAATAAGATGGATAAATGACTTGCCTTTCATATCTGGCTTGCCAGTCAGGAGGTAGGTTAATCCCAGGCTGTGGACAAGCAGGGCAAAACCAAGCCAGATCACCCTTGTCCGGTTTCTGCTCATCATTATGGGCAAAGCCAAACCATTTTCGACTCATCAAGTCTCTCCACAGTCGAGACACTCTCATAAGTTCTCGATATCGATTCTAGAAAAACAAATTGGTACTGTTAGTTTAACTTTCACCAAGAAGACTTATAAGACTTACAGGAACAGTATCTGGGAAACAGTTATTGGTCATTCGACGGATTTTTTCAAAGAAGCTGGATGCTGAAGTCTTGCACTCCAGTGCGTCAATTAGAAAATGATTGAGGACATCAAAAGTAAAGGCAGTCTGTGGTCGAGTGGTACTGGCTGGAAATAATTTAGCTTTCAGCAATTGCAAATGCTGCTGACAATCGACCCCAGGACAGCTGCACCAGACAACGTTGTGCAAAAACACTCCAGTGGAATGTACAATGGTCAACTTGGTTGGTATAGTTGAACCATGAACTGTCTCCATTGGTGAAAAATCGGCCTCTGCGTCCATCGGAATATTCTCCCATGCATGCATGTCGTCAGAAAATGGACATGGTTGTCCCCCATGGCCCATATACCAGATAAAACCCAATTCTTCAAGTGATGTGTCGTTGAAACATTTCCCAGTCCACTCTTGAACCTTGTGGAAGGGCAAAAACTGGTGAGCATTGACAATGCAAGAACGACAGAATGTCTGATCTCCACTGCAAGTCAAACAGCGGAATTTCCCTTCACCAATCTGACAAGACTGGCACTGGGATACATCGGAGGGTTTCTCCAAGTCAAGGAGAATATCCAAGTACAAGTCTCGGAAAGGCAGATATTCTTGGATGAAGTCATTTTGTGTCTGGTCGTAATAATCTCTATTTAGTACATCATTAAAAGACACTGAATCACTATGCTTGCCTTGGTTTTCTTTCTGAGTTCTCTACATAGGAAACAAAGTCACCAAGGGTTTGTCTATCAAAATCTTCATGACTGTTTTGCAACCCTTGAGTGTCTTCTCTAATACGTTTACGAGGGCTGGAGGATGGAGATGGTGTTGGGGCAGTGTCATAAAGGCTATCAGCGCATGATTCCACCCAGGTTGGCTTCCTTCTCTTTCCAATGACTTGTTTTATGAGACACATAGGCAACATCAAGGTCCTTGCCTTTAGACAAACGACCTCTTCCTTGGAAGGAAAATGTAGCTGCCTTGAGTCGAGTTTTTTTCTTGGGAGACATAGGGTTACATGTGGGGGGAAAAATTGATATTATCAACATTCTATTTTTGATAGTTGAAACCATTCATAGGAATCACTAGATCACATCAACTAATCTAGTAGGTATACTGTCAAACACTTGATTTGTCCCATTCCACCCCTCCTCCTCCAAGAACTACTCCTTTCTTATCATCTACTTGTCACAACAATAACTATCCTGCTGCCCCACCATCTGCAAAAAATAGGCCTGTGTTGGAAAGGGGGGTCTGGATACCCCGCATCTAGAGTGGATTTTATCCCTCATAAAATGGGCAATAACGAGCCTTTCTCCCGGACCCCATGGACCAATAGAATGTTGTAAAACCTTCCCGGAAATGAAGACCATTGTCCCAGGGTAATAATCCAGTTCGGCCCCAACATCTGCTAATGTCAACTTAGCCTCATGGCCACTGCCTAAACTAATCAGAAGATCAAAAAGAGAAGGTGCGCCACCAGAATCTCTGTGTGATAAAGTTGTACGATTTGCAATTATTTCCAATCCTGAGAAGATCGAGGGCCAATCACAGATGGGTGGTGATGTTCTATCAGAACCTTGAAGTTCCTCAATAATACGAGTGATTGCCAAGGTGCCTGCTTCGAATAGATCTGGAGCTGATACAGCGGTAATGGCATTCCAGAAAGATTCAGTAGCTGATAAAGCAGCTAGCCACTCTTGGACTTCCACAGACTTATAGGAAGCCGAGGTAACCATTGGGTCTTCCAGTCTCTGCAAATGAAATCAAACAAAGTCAAAAGTAGCTAAACAACCACTAAATTTGGCCTATACCTCGTGTCTTTGCATAAAATATGCTGGTGATACTGTGACTCTGCCTACTCCAAATTCTCCACCCCCCTCTGGGACAACAAAGCCTTGAGATCGCCAAGACTGTTGGGTGGAGGACGTAATTGTTTCAAGAAGTAAAGTCCGTAAACCCTTAGTGGCTGAGTTCACATATTCCTAATTTAATTTATCAATTGATGAGGGGAATTCCCAAGGAAGAATGAACATACAACCCGAGAAGAAGACAGAATATTTGGCAAGTAAATTGTTAAAATTTTACCTTGCCTGTCCACAATAGTAGCTGGTACTGAAATTTTACCGATCATAGCTGCAGAAAAGTACTTTGGTAGCTGATTGGTATTAGCGAGGGGACCATCAGATTTAGGTGTAGAGACTTTGGCCATTTCGGCAAATCTGTCAACATCCCAATCCACATAATCTGCAAATGATGTGAATTTAAAACCAGGTGATATCTTGCAGAGTGAAACAACTCACAAGGATTTACCATTGCATGGGCAACTGTCAGTGCAGCTCGATTGATCTCATATTCTGAGATTGACGCAGAAGCATGGAAGTTGACATCACGTGTTGCTAAGCAACTGTCTAGCTCATGTCCAATTCTTAATCTTAAGTGAGACCATTTAATAGAGCGGATCAAATAAGGCCCTAAATATAACCTCTCACCTTGCTTTGTGTAGAAGGTGAGTTTGCAATATCCCCCCTCTGAAGATCCCTGTTGCTGATGATTTTCCCATAATTTCCTTGATCCTTGTGGTCAGAGCTGCTCTCAGCTTGATTGATTGACTCATTTGTTGGTCCATGGTGAGCAAGGAAAATTTTCAACCAGCTCGTTCGGATCAAGACTCAATTTAACTTATATGAAATGATTCCGAAAAAATTGTCCCGCGATCAAATTTGGATATATGAATGGAATCTACTGATGGAAGACTGATTAAATGAAGTCTTGCCCAGATTGTGACATAATTAGTACTGTAATAACTCGCTCAGATGCTGGAAGAGTGAAGACTAATATTGGCAGACTACCACAGAAGAATGAATGATATTCTGAATCTGGGACTACACTGTGGGATCCCTGTCTCAAATAACAGGAGACACTTCCAGCTGGAGTTCAACGCCTTGAGAGACAGCAAGGACTCACTTATTAAGAATGCAATCACAAAAACAGTAGTGTATAATAGTAAATTGGCATCCGGAGGACACCAGGACAAGTAGCAATGACGCCATATGATACAAACTGCCCTGCACCATCAGAAGGCTGACTCTTCCCTTCTGACCATGGAGGGGAGATACCTCTGAGGTTACCTCTGAGGCATATACTGGCTAGCCCGCCCTCAAAACTGTTCGTGTTAAGAGTTCTGCCTCAGAGGTAATACTTAGTTAGCTACACCTATACTGTAGGGTATTGAAAATGTTTTCTTTGTTAACCGAAGAAAACATTCTCAATACCCTGCAGTATAGGTGTAGCCAACTTACCTCTGAGGCAGAACTCTTAACACGAACAGTTTTGAGGGCGGGCTAGCCTCTAAGTGGCCTGTAGGGTATTGAGAATGTTTTCTTCGGTTAACAAAGAAAACATCTTCAATACCCTACAGTATATGCCTCAGAGGTAAGTTAGCTACACCTATACTGCAGGGTATTGAGAAACCCTGCAGGCCACTTAGAGGCTAGCCCGCCCTCAAAACTGTTCGTGTTAAGAGTTCTGCCTCAGAGGTAAGTTGGCTACACCTATACTGCAGGGTATTGAGAATGTTTTTCTTCGGTTAACAAAGAAAACATTTTCAATACCCTACAGTATAGGTGTAGCTAACAAAGTATTACCTCTGAGGCAGAACTCTTAACACGAACAGTTTGGAGATACCTCTGAGGCATATACTGGCTAGCCCGCCCTCAAAACTGTTCGTGTTAAGAGTTTTGCCTCAGAGGTAATACTTAGTTAGCTACACCTATACTGTAGGGTATTGAAAATGTTTTCTTTGTTAACCGAAGAAAACATTCTCAATACCCTACAGTATAGGTGTAGCTAACTAAGTATTACCTCTGAGGCAGAACTCTTAACACGAACAGTTTGAGGGCGGGCTAGCCTCTAAGCGGCCTGTAGGGTATTGAGAATGTCCGTCAGTCCAAAATATGCTAGCAGCCCAGGCAGATGGTGACAATGACGCCATATGATGACTCCCCTCTGTGGTCAGAAGGCAATTTCAAAGAAGAATCAACCTTCTGACCGGGAAGGGAAGTTTGTATCATATGGCGTCATGGCTACTTGTCCTAGTGTTCTGCCACCATCTGCCTATGCCAATAGTATATTTTGACTGGCAGACAATAATCAATGATAGCGTCCTTCAGCATGTCAATGGTGAGCCGCATCAAGGCAGAATTGAGATCTACATAACACATTATCTATCTAAGACATGTAGTAGATAATAGTTGCTTTGGTCTGTGCAGCGTTTGATTATTATACACTACTGTGCTTTTGCGCTTGCTTTCTTAATAAGGCTCTTTGCTAATATACACACGGTCACGTGACCTTTTCAGCCGGCAGCAAATAAAGTGCATCCATCAACATACATTTTCAAATACAAAGTACGAGTGACAATAAATTTTACTACAAGTAAGCAAACAAATAAAGTAACAAATACAAAAGGGGAGGCGAGACTTCAATGAGGGGGCCCTCCTCACCAAAGCCTCAACACTCCAGGTGAAAATGTATGTAGCAAATATATATATAATACAATACAAATTTGTCCTGTAGAAACGTTAGACCGAAATTTAAGACAAGATTAACACTTAACTAGAGAGCACTTGCCACACAAAAGTACCGGCAGGTTCAGCAGTCTAGAGAACAAAACAGATCAGTTAAGGTCATCAGGAATTGAGCGCTTACCACCATTAAAAAGTTGGAGCAGGCTATTAAAAGTCGGAGCAGGAGCCACTGACAAGTGGCATGCACTGCGATACCGCCAATTCCAAGAAGCAGGAGCCACTGACAAGTGGCATGCACTGCGCTGAGCCCCAGTCCCAATAAGCAGGAGCCACTAACAAGTGGCATGCACTGCGCTACCGCCAATTCCAAGAAGCAGGAGCCACTGACAAGTGGCATGCACTGCGCTGAGCCCCAGTCCCAATAAGCAGGAGCCACTAACAAGTGGCATGCACTGCGCTACCGCCAATTCCAAGAAGCAGGAGCCACTGACAAGTGGCATGCACTGCGCTGAGCCCCAGTCCCAATAAGCAGGAGCCACTAACAAGTGGCATGCACTGCGCTACCGCCAATTTCAAGAAGCAGAGCCACTGACAAGTGGCATGCACTGCGCAACCCCCAGTTCCTATAAGCAGGAGCCACTGACAAGTGGCATGCACTGCGCAACCCCCAGTTCCAATAAGCAGAATACTAAATAGAACAGACATTAGCAAACGGACGCAGAGAAGAAGGACTTACGTTTAAGGAACTGGAAGGCGCTCAAAGGGAGGAGTGGCTCTAACTGCGCCATCCAAAGTCCTGAAATTCGTAAGTATAATACTAAATAGAACAAACGTTAGCAAACGGACATGAGAGAGGAAGGACTTAGTTGGGAACTGGAGGGCGCTCAAAGGGAGGAGTGGCTCTAACTGCCATCCAAAGTCCCGAAATTCGTAAGTATAATCCTAAATAGAACAAACGTTAGCAAGCGGACGCGGGAAAAGAAGGACTTACGTTGGGAACTGGAGGGCGCTCAAAGGGAGGAGTGGCTCTAACTGCCATCCAAAGTCCCGAAATTCGTAAGTATAATCCTAAATAGAACAAACGTTAGCAAGCGACGCGGGAAAAGAAGGACTTACGTTGGGAACTGCCAGGAGGGCGCTCAAAGGGAGGAGTGGCTGTCACTGCGCCATCCAAAGTCTCCAAAATCCTAAGTACAACAGACAT